TCTTCATATTTTATAGAATTACCTTCTCCAATCTGGTGCCTTCCAAATGTATTTTGCCATAATTGCCACCTAGAGAGGTTAAAAAAAATGCAGCCACCCATTTTATAAAGTGAAATTCAACATAACTGGAACATGCTATAATAGAACTGACAGGAGTAACTGTAAACCTAGAATTCAATTTGGATGCACCTGTTTTTTATCCTGTTGATGCTGCTGCTGCTAAAGTTTTAGAGCACTGGAAATAGCTGAATAGACTATTGGAGTTAGGTGTGTCTGCTTGTGTACATTGCTTACAATTGGCACTGGCAACTCCATTGCTAAGCACTGGTGTTTCTAAGCAATGTGATGTGAAGACATACGGTGTGTTTTGAATTTTAGATCAAAAGGTTAATATATTTTATTATCTGCAAATGTATAGAAGTGGGAAGCTTAAAAAAAAGGACTGTGGATAGTGCATTTTATCTGACATTTCTAACAGAGATAAATGATTTCATTTGATACTACCTTGTATATTTAGCTATGTGGTGTTAGAAGTGCACTGGTTCACCAAGAGTGAAAAATAAAGAAAAATAAGCTCAGTGAGAATCATTAAACATACTCAGTGCAGAGCCAACTCTGCCTGGATGGGGAAAAATGAGTATTCTGCTGAAGCCCACACATCTTCGTATTGCTAAGTTTGAGAAACACTGGTATATACAGCACAATCTCCTGAATCACAGAGTACATGCTTCAAATAGTTGCTAGAGGGTGATGGTATCAGAAGACTGTTCATACTTATGAGCTTCTTGAATGCCTCTAACCAATCCAGTGGGGCTGGGCTGGGCTGAGCTGTGGGGTCCCAGTCCTTTGGGAGCTCGAGGGCTGGGCGCTAGAGCTCTGGACAGCCTGCGCCGCCATCGGGGGGTCCTCCATGTGGCCTGAGAGGCTCCTCTGGAAGAGAAGGATTTGGCACTCTCCATTGTCTCACCTTCCTCTGCTGGAGACAATGGGTCCCCCACAAGCCCAACCAGGGCTGCCACAGGTGCCCCCCACACGAGTGATGACGAGCTGGCTACGCCCACCCTGCCAGCCCTCCCTGGCCACACTCCCCTGGCCAAGCCCTCCTGGCCTCCTGAGGTCAAACACAACCCCAATGTGGCCTGCAATGAAATTGAGTTTGAGACCCCTGCTCTAAACTGTTCTCTCTTTCTGACATAGAATACTGGATTAGAGTGGTGGTATTTTACCAGTTCAGCCTGGTTCTGCCGAGCCGGTAGCAGCGATGAGCATTGGAGAGTGAACCGATTCTCTCTGCCACTCTGCTATTGGGCCCACCTGCCCACCAGGGCTCCCCTACTCACCTTTATTCCCTGCTTTTGAAACTCAGCTGCTTTGTGCGGCATAGCGGAGTGCTGCGCGGCAGCTGCTGAAGCAACCAGAAGAGTGCAGGCTTGCAGGAGCTGCATTGCACAAATGCCTCTGCGCCTGTGCAAAGTGTGTGTTTGGTGCACACACAAAGTGTGTGCCCATGTGCAAAGCGCACCAAACCGTTGGTAAAACTTTTTGAATCCCACCACTGGATTAGATGTCCCAAAGGTGCTTTTTCAAGAGGCAACTGCACTTCCTGCTTCTTCTTTTAAAAAGACGTTTCGCTTCTCATCCAACAAGCTTCTTGGATGAGAAGCAAAACGTCTTCAAAGAAAACCCAAGAAAGTCCAGTTGCCTCGTGAAAAAAAGCACCTTTGGAACAACCGTGATCTGGATGACTGACTGAGAATCTCCATGGACAGCTGTATTAGATGGGTTTGAATTAGTGTTAGTATTATTAGTATAATCCTAGTATTCATGTCAGTTTCATTTCAGTCAGATGCTGATTACTCTCCTATTTTTGAAAAAGTTGTAATAAATACCCATCAAATTAAGAGTTATTTTCTCTAGCAAGACATACATTTTAATAGAATTGAATAAGCTTGCCAGTTGCTCTATTTCCATATGGTTGCAAAGTTTCGGTGATAACCCGTGCACGACTGTCCTCCGGGTATTTACATTCCATGTGAGTCACGTGCTTCATTAAAATTTCACAAATTTGTCTGCTTTAGAGGAATTATCTTCATTTTCTTTGTAAGTCTGGATAGGGAGTGAATTTTGTTCTATGTTGAGATGCAAGTGACTTTTTGGCAGGAAAATGTCTGCAATTCTAACTTTCCAAGTTTTATTTCAAAGCAAGGTATTTCAGCTTAAGAATTTGACTCTAAAAAAGTTGTTCAGATTTTTTTTTAATTTGAAAAGATTGTCTTGCAAGTGTACTTCGCAGTGCATATATTATAATATTTAAATGTTCTGGGAAGGGTAGTGAACAAAGTGAATTGAAACTGAAGCTTCTGTAGATAACATAAGCAAATTTTCATCAGCTGTAATTAACATTACTATAATGATTACTAGGCAGTTTTTAAAATATAAAGCTTAAGCCAACATTTATGAAATTTAATTTATGAGCAAAATGTCGAGATCTGACAGCCTTTTAAAAACTAAACAATTCTTTCAATTTTCCAATTTTCATCTAAGTCTGGTGCTAATCTGAGATGATATTGGAGCTTCTAATATATTATTACAGGTATATTTTTACAGTTCCAAGAAAATGCGGTGTTTTGAAAGCCACTGATTAAATAGAGATCAGGTTTTAAAAGAATTATCCGATTGACCCTCCATACATTCTTTGTATGCCTGGAAAAAATAATTTTCAAAGAAAGAACATGTAATTGCAATCAGATGAAGAGGTAATTACAATGACATTGATTTAAGTGGAAATTAAATGCAAATGAGTACATAGGATGAATCAGTAGCAAAGATTGCTTTCAGCAGTTTTCATTCTCTCTTTAAGGTATTATTTTAGTTCTACTGAATGTAAAAACACTCAAATGCAGGCAACTTCCTACAGGTGCTTATTTAATACATATTACTTAGATAGATGCTCTTATCACAGCTTAAACAGGCAGAATTAATTTTGGTCCCATCATTGCAAAACTGCTCTCAACAATTAAAACATGATAAAGCTAGGCATTTAAATATGCATTTTGAGAAAATTTTGAGAAAAAAATAGGTAAAAATTTAAACATATAAATTGCATAAATACACAGCTTGAAATAGACTAGTGTAAAAAGGTATATGATATCAAGTGTGAAACAGTGCGAAGACTATAAATAAATTCAGTCATTTCTACTGGTTATTAGAGGAAACAATTTCAACACACAAAATTTAAACCTTTTAATGCTATTTGCACCATTTTCCAGCCTTTGTGGGGTCCTTGGTGCTCTCTGAACTTAATCGGTTTCAATGTAGATTATTTCATTATCCAACTAGTTAATATCATCCTTCCAGCAGACAAAGACCAAACCATGGTTATCATGAACAGATCTTAATATATACAAAAAGCCGAAGAATTACTAGAAAACAAAACCTAGCACTAATGATGTTACCTGGTTGAGTATTGAAACATCTACAAGAAATCAGCCAAACCCAGAGACCACCAACCCTTAGTTCAACCCTGAGTTACGAATACTCTTTCCTGAGCTTGTTTTTCTATACCAGGAGTCCCCAAACTTGGCAACTTTAAGACTTCTGGACTTCTGGGAGTTGAAGTCCACAAGTTTTAAAGTTGCCAAGTTTGAAGACCTCTGATTTATACTATATGGAGGCCACATGTAGTATAATGGGAACTATATGCCAAAAACTGGTTAAAAGATAAAACTGGAGAGAAGATGAAAATGAGTAAGATAAAGAACTGGGCATTGGGAAGACCAACGTTAAATTGAATTTACTTTTAATGTAACATCAAATAGGGTTAAATATAATTAATTCAATATTAATTTGACTAATATCACTCCCATGTATATAAACAATTATATTTCCTAACACATTAAACTTTGCAACATAGTAAAATACTTTGAGCACTCTACAATCCACATCCAAGCAGACAGTGCAAGGATTACAGGATATGCATCTTGTTCAAATATTAATTTTATTTTGTTAGTCTGTAGGGAAGTTGCAAGAGACCTGGCTGAAGATCTAGAGTCTGAAGTAACATTCCACAAATGATTCTAAAAATGTTGTGGAATTTCGAGGTGATTTGAGGAAAAGATTGAAGAGTCACTCATGGGAAGGAAGCAGCTGAAAGGAGATCAATGTATATCTAGTAGTTGTCTGTGTGTGATGACCGAGGCATGGCACAAAGACAACCCAGTCAGATGATAAGTAGGAGTCTCTTTATTAGCTCCAACTTTCCCCCCAATGGCCCAGTTACCTTCTGGTTTGGAGAAAAACTCCCAGGAACTTGCAATAGCCTTTGGCTGCAGATATTCTAGTCCAAAATATTGTAAACAGAAAATTTTAAACTATAAATCCAACAAAGCAAGATAAGGCAAGGAGTTCCAGAAGTGAAGTAATACGGCAGTAAATCAAACCAGTTTGGAGGATTCCAGGAATGCAGATAACAGCAGCCAACATTTAAATAAACTCAGTGTTTGTTCCTGGAAAACGCAGCTTGCAACTGCCTCTCCTTTAAACTCCCTCCCCAGATGTGCCTTTTGAAGGGAATCAGGGACCTCTCCTCCCTTATAAGCCATGCAACCCACGTTGCTGTCTTCTTCGTTCTTCCCTGCATGCCCTAGGATGAAGAGGGGGTGGGCCTTGGTCCTTCTCTGAACTCCCTCCCCCTTGTTCTACCTCTTCGCTGCTCTGCCCAGCCTGACTTTACACTTCCCCAGTTTCCTTCACAGCCAATGGAGCCACTCTCCTGCTCCCTGTCAACTGTTCGTCTTCCTCCTCGGAGTCAGACTCCGACAGGGACATGACAGTGTGGGGGAAATGTAGTGTGACCAGATTCCTGTCTATAGGCGTGTAGCAATAAGCATACCACTCTGTTTCAGCTCCTTATGTCTCTCTCCTTGTTCTTCCTTGCACCCGACAAATGTATCCTTAAAAAAGGAAGGTGGCCAAAGCATTAATCCTCTCTTTCTTTTTAGTAGAGGTGCTGAGAACCGGTATGGCTTTCGCCAACAGACTGTAGTTAGAGACAAAGGCAGGAGATCTGCTATTCGAGGCCCGGCATATATGTTTAATGATCATTCAACCAGCCTTTCTATCGAGGAAGAGCGTTTTCTGGAAGCAGCAGAATATGGTAATATCCCTGTAGTCCGTAAAATGCTGGAGGAATGCACATCGCTCAACGTGAACTGTGTGGATTACATGGGCCAGAACGCATTACAACTGGCTGTGGCAAATGAACATCTGGAAATCACGGAGCTGTTACTTAAGAAGGAAAACTTGTCACGTGTTGGAGATGCACTACTCTTAGCCATTAGCAAAGGCTACATCCGAATTGTTGAAGCCATTTTGAACCATCCTGCATTTGCAGAAGGGAAGAGGCTGGCCACAAGCCCTAGTCAATCGGAGTTGCAACATGATGACTTTTACGCCTACGATGAGGACGGAACTCGCTTCTCGCACGACGTGACCCCCATTATCCTTGCCGCCCACTGCCATGAGTATGAAATTGTGCACATCCTGCTGAGGAAAGGAGCTCGGATTGAGAGGCCTCATGATTATTTCTGCAAATGCAGCGAATGCAACAAGAAGCAAAGGAATGACACTTTCAGCCATTCTAGATCCAGGATCAATGCTTACAAAGGCCTAGCAAGTCCAGCTTATCTGTCTTTATCAAGTGAGGACCCGGTTATGACTGCCTTAGAACTCAGCAATGAGTTGGCTGTGCTTGCTAACATCGAAAAAGAATTCAGGGTAAGATGTTAATCAATGGATAGGCATGAATTGTCATTATATAACCTCTTTTGGATCAGAGCAAATATCTTAAACTCTTTTCCATTCCCATAAAAAACATATAAACCATAAAAAAGGTTTTAAGAAAGTTTTAAAGTAGACTTTGAGGGTTTGACTCCTGTATTTTGCATTCTAAGCTAGATGTAAAAAGTAATTGAGTCACAAATATCAAGTCAGTTTGCAAAGTTAAAACTAATATAGGCAGCAATTACTAATTATTAGTATTTTCCTGGGGGTATGATAGCTCAGCAATAGCAATAGCACTTAGACTTATATACTGCTTTACAGTGCTTTACAGTGCTTTACAGCCCTCTCTAAGCAGTTTTACAGAGTCAGCATCTTGCCCCCAACAATCTGGGTCATTTTATCGACCTTGGAAGGATGGAAGGCTGAGTCAACCTTGAGCTGGTGGGAATTGAACTGCCAAATTGCAGTCAGCCAACAGTCAGCAGAAGTAGCCTGCAGTACTGCATTCTAACCACTGCGCCACTAACTGCGGCTCTAAAATGGTTAAAAACACTAAACTTGTCAGCTAGAAAGCTGACAGCCCAGGTTTGAGCCCAAAGTGCCGCATGATGGGGCAAGCTCCCATTACTTGCTCCAGGTCTTGCCCACCTAGCAGGTCAAAAGCATGCAAATGCAAGTAGATAAATAGGTACCATTTTGGTGGGAAGGTAGCAGAGTTCCATTGCCTTGGTGTATAGTCATGCTGGCCTTATGACCATGGAAATGATTTCAGACAATACTGGGTTTCTTGACTAAGAAACAGAAATGAACAACGCCCCTAAAGTCAGACACGACTGGGAAGGGGAAACCTTTATCCTTTAAATATGTTTACAAATTTGGAAGATAAATTTTCCACCCAAAATAATAAAATGCATTAGATTACAGTAGGATAAAATGTGCTAATGGTTGTTATGTCTACATTTTAGATAACTTTCTAAAACTGCATGATATTTTTAAATAATTTATATTTAAACTTTGCAGACCACTCTGATACTAGAGTTAAATAAACTTATAATTAATTAAGTAATGGATAATGGCCTCAAATGACAAAAAAGTACAGTTGATTTTTTTAGACATACAAGTAATAAAACATTGGCATTATTGCAGCTGTCTCTGTGGCCAGTAATAATTTTAAAACTTTACGTTAAAAGAATGAAAGGAATCAGAAGGCTTGAATTCTGTTTATTGATTTTATCATAGAATTTGAACTTCACCTTCTAATTCTTAGAGAAACTTGCATGCAAGTTGGGATTTTTGGAATAGTGAAATTTTTTTAGTCTGTTTAGGATGATCTCTCGTTATTGTTATCCCATAAATTAAAATGTATTGAATTAAAACCCATCTGCCTTTTGCATGAAACTGTTGAACCACAATTTAAGGAAAAACAACTGTACTTTATTCACAAAACAGAAGATCAAAAGAAAAGCATGTTTAAAGTAGCTTACAGTAGTTTACAGTTTTTCCCCCCTGCAATCTAAAACTTGGTAATACCACTGCAATAAAATCTAGATCCGATCGAAAAAGGCTGTTGATCAGTGTAATCTTTTCTACTCTCTGGACAGGGGAGAGAAAGCCAGAACTGCAAAACCCATACTGCTATGTTGGGTTTCCTATTATAGATCACTCATATCTTATTTTCTTAATAGGTTTGTAATTGGCCATAAAATCCAGGGCTTCTGCTCCTTGATTGTTCATTACCTGACCATTCAGTTATGTATTAGTCACATTATTATAATTTATTAGATTCCATCTTCCTTACATAGGTAGTAGCATCACCACTTTTTTTTTGCAGAAGCCTTCCATTCCTTCTTCCTGGTTTTCAGAAAACCAGTAGAGTTGGTTATTTCATCAGGGTTGCTATGACTATCCCTGTGGATGATGAATTTGCCTTATAATTAGACAATCGATTCCTGGTTTTTATAGTAAATGGTTTTATTTTTAACATTTGATTACTCATCCCTCTGATTTGATTCAAAGACATGAACAGTTATGCAGCACTTAGTATAACAGATCCACCTATAAGTCCTGCAAATATTTATCTACTTACTAAACACATTCACCTAATCCTCTTTTTGATGTAGTCAGAATTGCTGAAAATGGAACCTATATTTTATTATCTTGACCACTGCCCTACATTATTTCAAGTTGTGCAGTATAGCAAATATATTTTGAACGCCTAACGTAAGTCAGTTTGTCTGTCTGTCTGTCTGTCTATCTATCTATCTATCTATCTATCTATCTATCTATCTATCTATCTATCTATCTATCTATCTATCTATCTAT